GAACCGGGCGCTAGAAGGGACGGGCTGGCCCTCGTGTAGACGTGCAAGACCCGGGCAGAGACCCTTGCCTTTTGCCGCGTCCTCTGCCACCCACTCCTGCTGCGGTGTTGGCTACAACACTCGCTCTCCTGCCTCAGCTTCGCGATTTGTAAACGAGAATTAATAACGACCACCTATTGTTTAGAGACTTCCCTGTGTTAAAATGCTTTTCGCTTCCACGCTGCTCCAGTAGTGCTCAGTATTACTGTTATTACGTGATGCTTTCTTAGCTTGCTGTTCAGAAAAGCAGCTGCCTTCCACGGGCTGGTGTAAGCTACCATTATGCTGGGTGGTATTATGTACGCTACTGTACTTCTGGCATCCGGGTCTATCATTTAGATTAATTTGGAAATTGTGTAGTGACTTGAGGAAAACTGCTGTTGAATTGGAGTTTGTTAGCCCAGAAAATACAATTAGTTAAAAAATCCCCTGTAATTGTGTAAAAAGTGCAATACTGAATGGTCTTGCATATAAACCAGAGTACTAGAATATAACTTTTGGTACCTTTTCCTTTTTTTTTCTTTTTCCAGTATGGGGTACTGCATCCTTTTTGTCCACGGTCTAAAAAAGCTGTCTATATGGTTAAACAAGTGGAGAATTGCTGTTCTGACCCTCTTTGCTTTACTGCTGCTGCTTTTCTCTTGGAAGACCGTGAAACAGAACGAAATCTGGCTGTCACGAGAATCCCTTTTCAGGTATGAGTGACCATAGGAGAATGCTTACATTTTTATATTGTTTAAAGTTAGTTTGTTACATGGAATGGTTTTCTTTAGCAAGAGTCCTGCTATTGATGCATTGCTGTGATTAACGTTTTGATTATTATAAAATAACACCTACTTTCTGTTTTCTGCTTCTGGCAACCGTGCAAAAACCAGTGTCAGCACTTTATATGCTTATGCACAAACTTTTGTTCTGGCAATCACATTTTTAAGACACGTTGTTTTTAAATAACTTTAGTTCTGTAGATTTACCAATAATGTAACACTCTCCTTTTTAAAGACTTAGCAAAAGTTCGTTGCAACCCTCCAGAACACCATAGTAACGCTATTGAATATATTGAATTTTCTTTAGTGATGTTCTTAATGACAAAAATGAAATGCCACGATGTGCCAAACTTAATGTACCATATTTCATTTTATTTGATTACTCTTTGCCAAACAGCTCTCTTTACAACCTCATTTATATATTTTTTTGCACTAAAACAGACTGTTTCATTTTGTGTTTTGCTAGCAAATGTATTGCATTTGCCTCCAGCTGCTTTCAGCAGTTGTCTAATTGTGAAGTAATTGCAGAAACGCAGGTGATCTGCACACGGGTTGCTTAGCTTTATTTTCTAACTTATTGGCCAGAGCAAAGTTTAATTTATGCAGCACTAAAGAGTATGAAATTATTTTTTATGTGTACCCTTCAGTCTTCAGGAAGCGCTGTTGAACTGGTTGGAGCTCTGTTAGTGGGATTTTTTTCAAAAAAATCTGGAATAGAGGTTTCTTCACTCCGACATGATTCATTGCCCATCTCCCTGAAATGCTGTTTGCTGTTCAAACAATAGCAGCCATGGTGACCGGTCTGGGCTCATGCCCATGAAGCGTACCTCTAGTCCAGACCCTTCTGGCTAACAGTGGCCACTCAGAGGAAAGCCGGACTCCTTTCCAAGTTGGACGACTCTCTTGTTGAAAGGGGAGTGGGAAGATGGCAATTCCATATGCTGAGTTGCAGGCATCATCTGGTATTGTGTTGCGTACAGTTGTGGTCACCCGTGTTTAAGAATGATGAAATCGAACTGGAGTGGATGACAGGAGGACGTCTCCTACTAAGGAGCACTCTTGGGATGATATGGGGTGCCAGGGGGTCTGTTGCAGAAAAGAAGGATAAGGTTATGTCTGCTTAGTTGGATGCAAATGGACTTCTGTCCATCCTACCTCTGTTCAAAGCAGCCAGCTCAAATTCAGAAACCATATATGCCACTCCTTCAGCGCAGCACTGAGCTGCAGCTAATGCACCTTGCCTCAAGGTTGGGGTTTGGTGTTGCCCAGGGTAGTACACAGGGCTCGGCGTCTTGGGTTGAGCTGGCTCACTCTTCAGCTCATGTCTTTTGGGGTCAATTCTGGGAGAGAGATCTGCCCTCGGCTTTTGAGGAGAAGGCAAGAACATAGGTCTGCTCCTGCTGGGTGACCTTATATCGTGGCCTACCCCTGAGAGCAATCAGCAGCAGATGCCTAGAAAAGCAATGTAAGAACAGGGCCAGCAACAGTGATGCTTCTCTCCAGTCCCTTCCCAGCTTGCAGTAATCTGCAGTTTAAAGACTTCCTGAGTCAGGAGTTACTTGGCTTTTTTGCTTTCAACAGCCACTGATGGACTTTTCTTCCATTAATGTCTCTGAGTGCTTTTTCAAATCTATTTATAGTTTTGGCTTCTACAGCATCCTGTGCGCTGGGCTCCGTCGTTAAATTACACAGTGCGCACACTAAGATTTCCCGTCTGTGTGCTGTGAGCCTTCTGCCTGATCATCTTGTTTGGCGTCCCCTAGTTCTGGTGTGCTGAGTGAGTAGTGAGTTACCATCAGCTCCGTCACTTGTCCTCTGCCTTCCATGCCTTCACTCCCATGCCCTCACCCAAAGCTGTCTCCTTTTCACACTGGAGTCTGCTGGTTTTGAACTGCCCTCATATGGAAGCTGTTCTGTATTTCTGATCCTGCTTGTCAGCCTTCACTGCATGCTTTCAAGCTAATCTGTCCTTTTGAGAAGGAGACCAGAATCACCTTTCAAGAGACGTGTGCAGCACAGTAACGTAGGACTGCTTTCTGTTTTTTGTTCTCTTCTACTAATTCCTGATCTTCCACTTGCGTTTTGTGACCTCTCCTAAGCACTGGGTGATATTTTCACAGAACTGTCCACACGAACTCCAAGATACCTATTGTGAATGGAAGCGTCTGATTTATAGACATCAGTCTGTGTGCAGATTTATGCAGATTTAGAGTGTGTGTGTACACACTCTCTGATACTTGTTGCTGTATGAGAATTGCATTTCATCTGCTATGTTCTTGCCCAGCCTTCAATACTGTGAGATCCTTCTGCAACAATTTGTAGTTAGTTTTAATTCCTGCAGTGCGATTCACATCGGTGTCATCAGCAAATGTGTCTCCTCCCTGTTTGCTCCCTTTTCAAGATCCTTTGTGAACATGTGAAGCAGCTCGGATGCCACTAAATGTCTCTTGGGGAGCCTGCTTGCAGTCATCTCCAATTGTAAAAACTGTTCACATACTCGTGCACTTTGCTCTGTCTTTCAACTAGGTGTTGATTCAGGAGAGGACCTTCCCTCTTACTCCACAACACCTTTAAGAAATTGGAAGTCTTTATTGAGGGATTTTATCAAAAGCCTTTTTGAACATTTAAGTGCACTACATTGATGTTTGTGATTTGACTGACTGGCCTATATTTGGATTTTTGTAAGAGCTTTCCATAGTTTCAGTACCATGTACCTGTTGAGTCTATCAAAGAACAACAGATCTGCCCAACTAACTTCTTTCTGCAAAATACAAGGTTAATTCTCCTCTGTTGGATTGTAGTTATCCAGAAGTTTGCTAGAACTAGTCTTTATTACGGTTTTCCCCAAATTACCTGGAGTGGAAATCAGACTTGCTGGTCTGTTACCTCCCAGATCCCTCCCCTGGAGCCAAATGACATCATGTCCATCACCTCCCAATTCAATAGTGCCAGCTGTGTTTAAATGAGAGGCTACGTACCGCAGCTAATAGCAGCTTCAGGTTTGATTTCCTTTGGATGCATACTACCAGGCCCAATGGATTTATAACTGTTCTTGGTGTTGATTTGTTTTAAAGCCTCTTTTACTGCCACTTCAGTTTGAGACCGTGCTTTGGACTTGCCCCTGTAAGGAATGGCTCCCATGTGGCAGCCTCCTTCAGTTCTCCTGTAGAGAGCACTGGTGCAGATAATCCATTTAGCTTTTCTGCTGTGGCCTTTTCTTCTTCAAGCACTACTTTTAGACCTCCATCATCTATTTGCCTTAGGGGATCTTTGGCAGGTTTCCTATATCTGATGTATTCCATTATTAGCTTTGATGGCTTTAGCAAGTTTTTCCTTAAATCTCTTTTGCTCTGCCTAATTATGGTTTATGTTTCACTTGCTGAAGTTTATACTCTTTTCCTTCTGTAGCTGTGACATTCACTTTTTAAAGGGTGGTTTTCATTTCTCATAGCCTTCTTTACTATGCTGTTTAGCCATATTGGCCTTTTTGTTGTCCTTTTAAGATCATCTTTGATAGATGTTACACATCTCTTGTGAGTCTGTAATACAGTAGGACTTTTCTTGTTGATGGGAAGGAAATGCAAAAGAAGAATAGTATAGCAAGAAGATAATGTCATCCCAGGAGTGGGAGATCTCATCTTAGGGGCAGGAGGAGGAGGCTATATATTGGCTGATGAGGAGAGAGAAGTGGATGGAGGCACATGCAACAGCAGTAAATTAGAAAGGACAGAGCAGGAGGAGGAGGTATGGAACAGTAAAGAAGTATGAGGGAAAATAATAAGGAAACAGAGCAAATCTATAGATATGGGAAAGGAGACATAAATCAACCTACTTGGTAGTCTCTGTGTGTGTTGAATTTTTTTAAGAAGTGTGTGCTGAGATAATCTTTATTCCCATTCCTAGTTCTTCATTTTTCTTTCTCCAGTTGCTGCTTTAATTAATTACTGCTTTTTTCTTTCCTATTACTTTTTTCCCCTTCACCTCTACTTTCCATTCCTCCATTTGCTTGGATGTGTTTCTTCAAGGTCGATCTGTCTCGATTCCCTTGGCTGAGACCTGCTGCGTTATACACGCTTTCTCTACGCCGGTCCAGGAGACGTTTGTGTACTCAGCATGTTACCAGTTTTGTGCTCGTACCCCATTTTGTCCCGTTCTCAAGGCTTACCCTGCTTTGACATTGTGCAGCAGCACCGTTGCCATCTCCGGGCCATCCTGACTCTCAGTCTCCAGCCCAGGGGACAAATTTTCTGGATGCAGAAATCCTGCCAGGTCTGACTGAAAGGAGCAGTGTCGGGGAGGATGCTGCTGTCTGAGGAAATGATGCATCAACTCATAGGTGCACCAGCATATGTGCAAGGACTAAATGAGAAGCAAATGAACCACAAATATAAGAAGTGGCCAAATATATAGAGGTCTAGATATTTGAGGCATACTATTGCAACAGATCTCTAGAAGGCCCATCAGTTTGTCTTACTGTATTGGTAGGTGGGCAGGGAAGGTTTGTTAAATATTTAAGGAACTACCCTATAAAATGAATGCACAGGCCGGGAGGTCAGGTTCCAACCGCAGTCAGTGTTAATGTCTGAAGCCAGGGAGAGGGAGGTGAGGGCTGTGGGCTAACCTCTGCATCTGCTGTACCGACCTTTTCAAGGTTTGTCAAGCTGCCGCATTTCCTGTTGCTCCTGGAAAGCATCTACATGCACTGCCCCGGTTTGTGACGGTGCCTGGAAACACAGTTGTAACCAGCAAAGGGACTGTATAAAAGCGGTACTTTCATAGTCAGCAGTTTTCTCTCCCAAGCCAGGTCTGCTGACTTCAGTAATTTGCAAAAACTAACCCAGCCCCAAAGGTGGCATTTACTGCTATGTTATTTTGTTAATTCTGAAAGCTAGCTCAGCTGAGAAGAGCAAGTCCTATTGCATTTTGTGCATCTTCTACAGAACAGTTTAATATGGCCCAACATGGATATCTGTGAAATCAATACAGGGGTAGAAGGCCAAGGAAAAGTGGTTGTTTGTGTCATCCAGAGAATAATTTGCTGTAGAGAACTTTATTGATGATAATGATTCCCAAAGCACAGGAGACCCCATCGGTCTCCCAGGGCTCCTGCTGAGGCAGGAGTGGCCTCATTTCCTTGTAAATTGAGCACTTTTCATATGGAAATCACAGAAAATCAGTGAAGCCTCTGCCCTGCACCCAGTCACTTTGCAGAGCAGAACATGCACTTAGGACAACAACAGAGGGGATCACAGGAGGCTTTTTCCAACTGAAGTGGAATTTGGGTAATGCCGGTATTTGAGGTTGGAAAATACCAGTGGTATTTTATTTCTCTGATTTATGGCTAATAGGCTTTTGCCTTTCCATGGAGAGGAAGTGTTACGTAAAAGGGTTTGCCTATTGTTTATTTTACAGTTATGTTGCTTACCGCTGTCGTAGAAGTCAAAAGGGAAGGAAATCCTCTGGAGAAGTGACGTCCAATCTCGATGAGCTTGTTTCTGGCTGGAGCCAGATCGGTGCCATAGGTTTTCAGAAGGGCACGTGTGTGCCGGGCTGGCGAAGAGGGAAACAGGGGAGTTTGGAAAAGCACGTTGGAAAATTAGATTGAAATTGTGAGAGACTGGGGGCTTGTGGGAAGCAGGAGTGGAAAAACATTGTGTTCTGCTTTGTTATTTATACTCCACCCTTTCCTGCTTGGCTTTTATTATGGACACTATTGTTTCCTCTGTCAATGAGCGAACAGCATTCTCGGCTGGTCAAGAATCAATTGGGAGGAGTATTTGCCTAAACTCTCCTAAAAAAATCCCCTCCACGTCCAGCGCTGTGTTTGCTACTACCTCCCACAGCGCAGAGACTCCAAGCAGCCTCAGTCATTGCTATGTGCATTTGCAAAATGAAACACCCCCCTCCCGCCTGTGCGAGGAGAATAAATAGGTCAGGGAGTGCGAGCGGCGTGATGCAGAAGAGAGCATCGTAACAACCCAGACTGATTTCTGCCTCTTCTGTGTCACCCCTACCTCTGGCAGAAGCATGCAGATGAAAGAAGCTTTATTAGTGACATTTTAATAAATGGGACCAGCAGGATTAATAATAAATTCTATTTAAAGGGAAACAGTCCAGAATTAAAATATTTAAACACATGCATCTTACTGTTAATACCGTATCTCGTTAGAACTGAAGTACTTGTGCATATGTAATGTACTCCTCACCGTTAACTCAGTTTGCTCTGTTTCAGCAGGGGCTGTAGCAGAGTCAGCAACTCATTGCACGTAGCTCTGAGAGAGCAGCAGTTTTGAGAGCCTGTCCGTGTCTCCGCCTGTAACGCTGGCGCTGATGTAATGAAACCCTCTCTGTATAAGAATTAATATTCCAGTAATGCCCAGAGGTTGTAAGTGTGTAGTTAATAGCTCCCAAGGCCGATGGAAATTAACACAGCCATAGCAGTCACACATTACTTGCTGCTGGTGCAGTATATCTTTGTGAAAACTAATATAGAAAATCATTCTCTTAAGAATAGCATCAATTAACTGATTTAATTCAGCGATTAGTCACAAAATGTCTTATTCCTGTAGTGCTCCCAGTAAGGAATTTGGAAATACCTGATGAGTAGGAAGCCAAAAGCAAGGTGTATTTTTAATTTCAGTAGGCAAACTGTGGCCGTGTTGTGCTGAACTCTGTAAGGCAGCCGTGGGCGAAGCTTTGGAAGCTCTCACAAGTAGGCATTAGCGATGCTTGATGCCACTGGCTGCAGATAACCAAAAAGATACCATATTTGCCACAACGATTCTCCAGCACCCTTTTACAATGAAATCCCCGACAAAGGGTTTCTGCAGCTGTGGGTGCATTCTCCCCGCAGGAGAGGGACTGCACCCTACTGTGGGTGGGGGCTGTGTGCAACCCCATCTTGTTATGATTAACTTCCATGCCCACCAAAGTTAAACGGGAGAGACAGACAAGGCAAAGCAACAAGACTTGGGAATGTCCTGATCCTTGCTTTTCCTACCTGAGGTAGGAACGTTCAGAGATGATGGGGGCAGAAAAGAGCAGCTGGCAGGAATCTGCTTGTGAGCAAGAAACAGCACTTTGTCTGCTTTTACATGAACAGATTCATCCATCCTTATTTCCCATTACCTCAGAGAGCCCCTATTTATGTGCTGGAAAGGATTTCCCCATGAAACGGAGTACTGACTTCTCTGGATTCTTGTAGGGAACATGTTTCCATGGCGTACGTGCTCCTGTGATTTCTTTCTCTCTTTAACCTTGAAACAGCATTTCCTCTAGCTGTGCAAGGTGTACCTTGCTTTCTGTGCTCACAGTTAAGTAAATAAGCATATGCTTGCTCTTCTCCTTTTGTCTTTGTGCCCTCATTATTAATTCCAAACGTTGAGTCCAATCTACACGCGGCAGGGGAGACAAAGGGGAGGGATGGGGTGGCTGTGCAGCCACATGTCCTCAGTTGTGTGTTATAACGCCAGAGCGTACGACTTGCCAGCTAAGGGCGAGAGTCCTATTAGCCCTCACCTCCTGGCCATGCTCCGCTCAGCGCTAAGCAGTGCGTACATGCTGGCTCGGTAGTCGAGTATGCTATGCATCCCCTCTAGTGGCTGCTGCGTATGGAAAAGATACCTTCTTTCTGGTACCTGCAGCTGACAGATTTAAATCAAGATTTTCATAAGGTGCTTTGTGACACTCAAATTTAAGCAGGCAGCCTGCTATGGCTATCTTATAGACTGCTATATGCTGTCCCTCTAAATATTAGCTTTTTTAGGGTCTTTGGTATTTCAATTTAATAATTCAGATTATGAAATACAACAGCACCTGGCCACAGGGAGTATTGCAGTGTTGGTGCTAGAGATGCCTGTGGTGACAGCGGCCAGGACAAGTTGAATTGCTGCCACATATTTATGTCCGCCCGGGGGATGTGGTGTGCCAGCGCGTGGGGCAAGCTCGGGCTTGTACCATGAGTTGCATTGGCACAAGCATGCAGGAAGTGACAAGGCACTCAAAATCCAAGCAAACTTTTTGGAAAAAGGTACTGTCATAAGAAGGTGGACCACAGGGAAGGAGGGATAACCTGGCCACTAACATGGTCCTGCTTCTGTTCCTCTTCGCAGCTCAGGAGTGAAGACCCTGCCCCACAATGCCAAGGTGCACTACAACTACGCCAATTTTCTGAAGGACCAGGGCCGTAACATTGAGGCGATCTACCACTACAAAACTGCTCTCAAGTAAGTCCCTCGAGGGCCTGGTGGGGCTCCTGTTGTGCGGTGCAGCCTGCCATTAGCCCAGCCCTTTCCTGCCGGGCATGGGGGGAGTTGCCTGCTCTTCACCCCTGGCTCCCAGGGGCAGCTCGGCTTTCGGAGGCTGGGAAAGCTCCCTGGCTCGCTGTTTGCATGTCATCAAATGAGGTAGCCTGGCTTCCATCCAGCTCCACGTGTGTGTATATGTGTGTGTGTGTGTGTGTGTGCACACTTCAATATATGAGATAGAAATGTTACCATAGCTACACGTTGAGCAATGAGGTGTCATTTACTTGGCTGAATGTATGCTGGTAAGCAGGAGGTAGTTGTCATAAATGCATTTTCAGGTTCCTGGGCCATTTATCTTAGTAAATTGTTAATGGTGCATGCCTGGAAAATGCCAGTGCTGTAGCCCTCTGAAGTGCAGTAATAATAATAGTACTTACTATTTGTATTGAGGCTTCTGTCCACAGAGCTTTGCATGAACACTAAACTAATTGATCCTGAAAATGCTCCTGTGCAGTAACAGGGTAAATATCATTACTGTGGTTCTGTCCAGGGGGAAGCTGAAGCAGGAGGGTGAATCACCTTGCCTGTAGATACATGGTAAATCTGGGCCCAGGGTTGGGCTGTGATATGGGACATGTCCTGCAGTCCTGAAGGACCATCCTGACCACGCGCAGATGGGATCACTGCCTATGAGCAGCATCCCTCTGCCCGTTGCTTCTGCTGGTGCTGTTAGTGCAGCTCAGCCAGGGCCTCGGCTGCTCCCCGCTGCCCAGGCAGTGCTCCGTGCAGCAAGCAAGTCACCCCAGTTCCCCAAACCTCTTCCCCTCTGGTCCTAGGGGCTTGAGAGAAGGGACAAGCCCCTGAGCGGAATGAGAGCAGGGAAAAGGATGGAGGGGAGGGTGGCAAGGGAAAGTAAAGATGGAGGGTGCAGATAATGTCTTTGGGAATAAAAGCATATGTGGGAAGGACAGGCAAGGTGAGGGAGGAGTGGCTCTGATGGATAGCAAGGGCAGAGCTCAGCTCCATTGGGCACATCAGGAGGTACAAGAAATGTTCTTTTCTGACATGTGGTGTGGCAGGAAACTCCAGAAATTACATCTATGTTTTGATTCTGGCCAGCTGACAGGGTTATAACAAAGGCTCTCCAAGGACTCCTAACCCACCCAGATTAAGCTGGGAGGACAGGAGTTCGTTGTCATTGAGGAGGGCCTGAACCTGGGTGAAGGTGCTTTTTAGCTTTTTTGAGCAGCATCCTGTCCTATTTTACCATGCTGGGCATTTAGGAAGTAATTTAGAAAAACCTCCATCCTATTTTTTAATGTTTCCAGGAATGGAAAATTCAGCACAACCATCAATAAATTGTACTGAAGGTTAATTACCTTGGCTGTTGAAAATGTCCTCCTTTATTTTTAGTCTGATTTGTTTAACGTCAGCTCCCAGTCATTGGATTTGTTTACATCTTTGCCACACTGAAGATCCGATTACCAAAAATCTGTTTTCCATAGAGTGATCAACTCCTCCCTTAACCTGCTGCTTGATACAACCAACTGATGTAGCTGCTGGCATTGTCAGTGTTGTGGGAGTTTTTGCAGTCCTCTAGTTGTTCCTGTTGCTAGTCTCTGAACTTTCTCCAACTTACCAGAAAAGCCCATTGCAAGTTAAAAAGAAGAGGGACTAACAAAAATTAGCCAAGCCCTGCAGTGAATGTGCTAGTACACAGAGTAATGTAACTGCTCCTACCAACGTTGCCTGTGCTTGTGTAAATGGGATTTGCTGACAAAAGATTTTGCTCTTCTCTAACTCAGCAGCATCCGTTTATTATAATTATAATGCTGTCTGCTGCTCTGCAGTATTTCAGTTATGAAAGAGTCTGTTTTGAGAACTGATTGCAAACATTTCCTCAACTTTATTAGATAGCACGGTTTGTGCTGATGGGTATTGTTTATAGAGCACCCAAAGCCTTGTCAGGGCTTGGAGCCACACAGAGCCAACCATGCTCTTCTCTAGGTGCTCGGTGTCTTGGCGGCACGGTACTAGTGCTCCACTCGCTTCAGTAATTTCAGGATTAGTCGGCACTTTTGAAAAGCAAGCCCCTGTCCCCACCTTGCATGCTTGCTATCTGACCCAGCGGTGCAGACCAGGATTTGGGAGTCTCCTGCTGGCTCCATCACTGAGAAGCTGCACTACTTGATCCCATCGCCTCATCTCTCTGCACTTATGCTTTCCTTATTTTTATGCTTTCTTCCCACCCCTGTCACAGAGAAATTATTTCGGGCCTGAGTATTAAGCGATGAAACAGTGTAAGTAAAAAGTGTAGTGTGTTCTGTTGAGAATTACATTCTGTGTTTTCCCCTGAGACATACCCTTTCTGAAATGGCTGGGGTTGTGTGTAGGCCTTGCAGCCTCATCATGCCTACGCATGATGGCTGTATTGAAGTGGTGGAGAAGGCGATGGTTGTGGAACAGGCAAGATGATGGTGGATATAGTGGAAGACCCTAGACAGGTATCACAGATAAGAACGGATTTCATGTCCGAGCTGTTTACTCATCCTCACAGACCCCAGCTGTGCAATCGCTGCTCTGATTGTAGGCCAATTACTCTACAATTAGAGAAAAGGAAGTAGTAGCTGTAATATCCTGACCAGATTTTGATGGTTCAGGGTATTTTTGGCCTCTGGCCTGACCTGAAAATGGAAGAACAGCTGGGAAGCTGAAGCACCACTCCTTGAATTTCCTCATCAGGGACTAGGCAGACCAGCAGCTCAGATGCTAACACAACAAGCTTCCCTAATTTCCCCCAGGTACCCCTCACTGGGTGTCTGCTCTCCAGGTGGATCCACACTGCCCAGATCACAGAAAACACAAGCTACTCAAGAGGCTTTGCAATCCAGCGGCAGCATCGTCAGAAGTATGGGAGATCAAAATATCATATCTGCCTAGTGCACAGTGAGCAGATCAATAAGGGAATTAATAAGGAAATGGAGTCAATAAGGACATGGATTGCCACCACTGCCACCCGGGAGCTCCTGGGAGGTAGGAGAGTGAGAGCAACATTGCCTCGTACCGGCTCCATCAGGCACGTGGGTGATGGCTCATCCATCATTCCAGCTTGCTTCTAAAGCTTGTGCCAAATTACAATGTAGGTCTGCTTGATCTCTGGTGAATGAGTTTAACTGTTTGCTAAACAAAAGTGATCCTGTCAGTCCGCACTCGGCTGCTTGAACCGCTTGCAATTACCATTCCACCAACGTAACGATGCGTTTCCACGCGCTGCTTCTCTGCCAGAAGTGTCGGTTGCCATGTAGCTATTTAGTGAAGCAACCCATTGCTCCTGCGAAGTAGGCAGGTGATGTAGCTATAGCTGTGGAAAAGGATGTTGAAGTGCCCACAGGTTACATAGTGGAAATAATAGCAATTGAGACTAAATCCCAGGAAAGTTGATCGCTGATGCTTCAGTCACTTGCTCATATTCCTGCTTTCAAAGGCAGGCAGGATCCTCTGCTGGCACGTGTTGGTGTATCTCTGTTAACTTCAGGGCAGGTAAATGGTGAAAGAGAAGAATGTGTTTCCTCTGACAGCGAAACTGCAGGGCAGGGTTCCAAGGCAAACTTGGCAGTTGATCCCGACAGCCACCTGTTGATGCCATTGCGGGTGGCCCGTCAAAGAACTCAGTCCTCACCGCAGCCGAGGGGCCAGTGACATAACACCCTGACTTAGGCATAGGTAATGACTGCCATCTAATCATGCTGTCCAAGAGCAGGGGAAATGAAAACTGAAATTAAGTGAAGAAATGGAGAACAACATTTGAATTGGAGAGGGGCAGAATGAAAAGAAAAAAAGTTCCGTGTATGTATGAAAAGCTCCTCCCATATGTTGGGTTCCTAAAGGGGGAACGGAAGCAGAGCCCTTCGGAGATGCAAGATGAGTTACCCGTAAAGCAGACCTGATGAACAGCTGGCGTTCTGCAATTGCAGCAGTGGGTTATAAACCTTTCGGCTTACCTTCAGTAAAGCAAGAAAAACACACTGCTGGATTAGACTGCTTCGCTGGTTTGCCTGACATATGGTAGTGACTCCAGGAGATACTTGGGGTTTTTTTTCCTGCAAAAAGTAAAGGCCAGAAATACTCCATCTGAGATGTGAGTTGACCATGACTATTCTGAAAGCTGGCCTTAACGTTCTTGGTGCTGCTTCTGCTGCAGATTTGCGGCCGTTGCTAGGAATTTCAGAGACCCCCTGCTGCCGGAGATCAAACAGTGCTGGTCGTAGCTGAAATAAAACTTGTCTCACCACTCTCATGTTTGTGACTGAGAATATGAGGTCGTGCAACCTCATATGAAGAACAACTCTGATGTGCTAATGAAGACATTTTTGCTGTTGTTGATAGTTACCAAGCTTTTGTCCTGCTTCTCCCCACCCTTGTTTGCTTGATATTGCTGTTGAGACTGTTTTATTGCTTCTCGGGAACGCACATGAGCTGACACGCAGAGAGAGAAAAACAGCAGAGCCTTTAATAACCCTTTTAACAGTGGAGGGGGGGAAATTCACCTTCCCTGCTACAATTGCACTCGTTCAAAATTTTAATTCCCGAAGCAGCTCTGTCTTACCCTCTCTATCTCCGTGTTTGTTGTCAGGGCCGTGCTTCCCATGGATGGCAGATCGATGTGAGCAACAGCAGGTGGGGCTGAAGGAGATTGCTGGGTTTCTTGCTGGAATTGGGTGAATAAATGTGCTAATAATACTTCTGTGCTAATAATAATTCTGTGCTATTCAAGCTACATTTCTGTGTTTGGCAAAAGGTCAACATCTAAAATTTCACGTTTGCACATTTGGACATAAAACATATAGATTTGCCCTTAATTAAAAATGTCGGTAGTGTATTGTGTAGTGTGTTGGGGGGAGTTATCTTTGTGTAAAGGCAGACACTGTGGCCATCAAATGATAGAAAATGGTTGAATCGGAACTGAATTATTTCTTCAT